CCATTAATGCCTGAACCATATCGCCATTAATGCCTGAACCGTATCACGATTATTGCCTGAACCATATTGCATTTAAAAGGCTGGATCGTGGTGTGATTTAAGATTGCATCTTATCGCGATAGTCTGAATTGTATCACAATTAAAGCCTGAATCTTTTTGCAAAAAACCTGAATCACAATTAAAGTTTGAATGGTATCACCAATAAAGCCTGAATCGTGTCGTTCAGTTTGCATTGTACAATTTGAAATTCATGCGTCTTCAAAGCAAATTTGCAGTTTTCTAAAGCTACAACCAGAGTGCAGATATACAACCCTACTATGAATAAGACTTCAAAACAAAATGAAAACAAACATTTATTTTTAATCCTCCCAAAGATGAAAAATGAAAGTTGATTCTTTAGTTTGAAAGCATCCAGCAGCGTTTTGTTGTCTGTTGTGTTAATGAGTCGTGCCACCTCACAGAGCTGTAGGTCCACTGATGTTTTATTGATAAATTCCTGAACTCAAACAAAGGTCTCTTTGTTTATGTTGGTAAGAACATATAAAAGTTTCATTAGGCTGCAGTTGCAGTGTCAACATCCCTCTGCAGAGCTGCTTTCTTATTGCATGGCCTTTATAACACCGATTCTTATTTCTGCCCATGTGTAAACACACACAGGAGGCCTTCAGTGTGGTTTAAAAAACAGGAAGGCAGGACTGATAAATGCTTTTAGACAGGAAGTAGTTCAGCTGTAATCATAAACTATTCATGAAGCTCTGTGGATGTTTATCATAAACAATCTGTAGCTGAATATCAAGTTGTTTACTAATATTTAGCAGCAATCTGAACCATTTCACATATTTATTGTGATTTTAATTCTTCTGTTTATCTGTATTTGTTATATCTAGTGTAAGTTAGTAAAGTTTGCAGGTTGTGTAATTTGTGTGGATTTTAAATCTTATTATAAAAGATCTTAAATGAAACCGTTTGCACAATAACTTGAAAGTCAAAAACAATGTTTAGATAAAATTGTGGTTTATGATCATTTATTTTTAACAGATTTATTATAATTAGTCAAACATGTGATGAGTTAAACAGGAAAGCCCTCGTGTCCAAGGAAGTCCAGGCTAGTTGCCTTTTGATTTCCGTGTGGGTGTCGGCACGTCTCAGAGGGGAGCTGCAGCTGCAAAGGCTGATTTATATTTTTTTAATGTTTACACGTGCCTGCAAACAGGACGTGCGCTCAAAAGACTGAAAACTTGTGGTTTGTTGCCAATATTAAACCAGAACTGCACCAGTGCAGATTTTACTCCTCCCAACACRGCTGTTGATTTCACCAAAAGCACTAAAAATGAATGAAAGTAGCTCATCGAATCAAAAGGGAACCAAAGCTGCTTCTTTGTTTATAAAAATAGAAAACTGTTGCTCCGGTTTGGACCGAGTTCAATCATTCAGAGTCGGTGAACAACAGCACAAATGTCCTCAGATACACCTGAAATTGGTTTTGTTTCATCACTGGGCTTTCATGATTGCACGGGGCTCGCTTCCATTTTTCATGTGCCGCAAATTTGCCCAGAGGGAGTGATTTTTGTGGCTGTCAAAAAGAAACAATCGGGTGCGCGGAGAGCGAACGCCTACATTCGGTCTTTGTGAAAATGTTCCGTGTTGCAGAGATTGATGAAGACATTGTGCTCGCCGAGTTTCTGAGAGTTTTGTCTCAACTGTTTCAACACAATGTATTTATCAGGTTAGAGAACGGACATATTTAGAGCTGAATGACGTCATTTTAGGACTAAAATAGGATTTTGCAGCTTTTTTTGCAAAACATCTTTAAGCCTGAAACTGCGATGACTTCACTGGTTTGGATTTAACATATTATATTAGATTTTGTTTTTTGTAGATTTTAAAAGCTTCTTCAAAAGCTTAAAAAATATTGTTCTCGAAATCTCCTTCAAACAACAGGTTCTACGGCTGTCGTCTTCTGCTACTTTTAGATTAAACAAAGTTTCAGCTTCTCCTGTAAACATTCACACAGAAAATGATTCTCTTTCCAGATTTTTTTAGTTTCTGCACAGGTTTTAAAATGGAAATAGAGTCCGCAACCTTTTTCAACCTTTATGGTTTTTATTGTCTGGAACATCTGGAATGGTGAGACCACCTGGCAAACTGTAAACAAAAGTTTACGCTTCAATAAGGAACCTGTTAGGTTTGTCTTACCCGTTCAGTCTGCGGATCTGTTGAGGTCCGAGGGCATGAAGAACCACACTCTCCTACAAAAAAAACACAAAAAGGAATATTTGTCATAAAGTTATGCCTTTGTTTGGTTTGCAGAGCTCAGTCAGAAACAAACAGGAGGAGATGATGATGATGTTACTTGACTTCCTGCTTCCAGCCCGGTTGGGAGTGCACTCAGAGCAGGAAACATTCAGCCTCCAGCTGCGAATCAACCTCATCAGGTTCTAGTGGTCTGTGAAATCTGGACCGAACTCATCAACGGCTACTTTTAATCAACCGTGCGTCGGAACACTCGACTCAACGGCTCGACGGGACGATCGACACCAGAGTTCAAACACTTGGATCTGATTTAACTGACTGGAATGTCAGACTTAAAGTCAGGATTTAGATTCATCAGCTGGGAGGAGGAGGAAAACTTGAAGCTAACGATGAGAAAACAGAAAATAAGCAAGTTTGTTTTCCTTTTCTACCAATAGTTTCCTTCCCTCCCTTTTTAATATCCTTTTCATCCCATAATTTAGAGGTTTTCTGGGCATGTCCTACTGAGAAGAGGGCCGGGTCAGACCCAGAACTCTCTGGAGGGACTCTACATCCTCTCTGACCTGGAGGATCTGGAGACAGTCGCTGAGGAGCGTAAGGCACAGTATGAGTGACAAAATTAAGACTGAGAGGCGGCACTGACAAATGAGACTATTCATTTGTGTTAGCATGGGAGAGGCTAGTGACTAGCATGGAAAAGCTGGATTTAACATCGTAAAGGCTAGCGAATAGCATGTATAAGCYGGCGTTGGCATCAGAGAGGCTAGCAACTAGCATGGATAAGCTGGATTTAGCATCAGAGAGGCTAGCAACTAGCATGGATAAACTGACCTTTGCATTGTAGGGGCTAGCGACTAGCATGTATAAGCTGGACTTAGCATCTGAGAGGCTAGCAACAAGGCTTGGATAAGGTGGCCTTAGCATTGGAGAGGCTAGCGACTAGCATGGATAATCTGGCATTAGCATTGGAGAATCTAGCATTAGCATTGGAGAGGCTAGCGACTAGCATGGATAAGCTGGATTTAGCATCAGAGAGGCTAGTAACTAGCATGGATAAGCTGGCCTTTGCATTGTAGGGGCTAGCCACTAGCATGAACAAGATGAATTTAGCATCAGAGAGGCTAGCGACTAGCATGGATAATCTGGATTTTGCATCAGAGAGGCTAGCAACTAGCATGGATAAGCTGGCCTTTGCATTGTAGGGGCTAGCGACTAGCATGGACAAGATGAATTTAGCATCAGAGAGGCTAGCAACTAGCATGGATAAGCTGGCCTTAGCATCGGAGAGGTTGGCGACTAGCATGACTAAGCTGAATTTTGCCAACTTATTAATTAACGCTTAGCTTTATTAATCAGATCAATAGCTGGCTTGGGAATAGATATAGCCTCCTGCTACAAGGATGTAGCAACTGCTGGTTGCACAATAGTCTAATTTTGGCCCTCATACCGCACCATATGAGAGGGAGGTCTGAGTTTCTCTTCTGGACCCGATGCTGCAGGTGGAAACAGAGATGCTTGTGCAGCAACACAAAAAGAACACTTCAAATGTTAGYGAAGAGGATGCTGGGAGGAATTTTAACACCATCTCTCTTTAATTAACTGGATGTTTTTCAATCACTCAGCCATCTGCCCGTCAAACCCAAATGTGCCAAGCAGTAAATACCCTGTGTCGCTGCGCAGAGCGTCCTTGAAACTTAAAAAACTCAAGTCGAGAGTCGCAGCTGCTCATAATATTAGCCTGCAAGTCCGTTTGTTATGTCAGAGTGAATTTTTGAAGGATGATAACTTTACAGAGCTCCCTATATTTACCTAAAACAAACCACCTTCTGATCTAAACCCCCTTCAGGTACTCGAACACGACGTAAACATGAAGTTTCCTCATCACTGATGGGTGTGTTTACATGCAAGGACGACAAAGTTAAAGTTCTGTGAAACGCGACGCTTTGCAGCTATTTGTTATTCTGAGATAATCCCAGAGGCTGGAACCCCTCGTAGAGCTGTCAGGATTAATTACAGTCATCTCCTCGTCTCATGTAGAGCAAAATTGAAAAATAAACAATCTCCAGAGAGAATTAACAATGGCAATTTCTTATGTTTGGATAAAAACTACATTTTCATCAGTTCATCTGCAATTATTTAAAGTTATAAACAGAGTGGTTGACATTCAGGATTGTCCCAAATTATTTGAGTGATTCTACCAAAAACAAAACTGCTCCTATGAATTGTTCCTGGGTCTTTCTGTGAACATAAAAAGACATGTTTTATGTCAAACATTAACAACAAACTGCAATAAAATCAATAAAAACAAATAATTCTGTCAATAAACCAAACTTTAAGTTGTTTCTCCTGAATTTCTGAATTAAAAACCTAGATTGAGATTTTCAGGACAGATCCCATGTTAAAATTTAGAACTTTAATCAGATCTTTTTCTTAGAAGTTTAACTCATTTTTACTGCTGATATATAATTGTGAAGCAAATGTTGGCACATTGGTGACATTATATAATTGGTTATTGTCAATGCATAAAAAAAACAATATTTTGCTTTTTTCTAATTAGTTTATACCTAAAAAAATCTGCTTTTCAACACAAATCAACAATATATCTTCTTTTATCATTGCACAATTTTTTATATTATATTTTTATTATTAGTAGTCGTATCATTGCTAGTCAGTGTTAATTTAGTTTTTTGTCTAATGTCTATAGTTTGTAAAGTAACTACCATATGAACCTCTGTACGGATGCTGCTGTGACACCTGAATTTCCCCTCGGCGGGAAAATAAAGGCTATTTCTATTCTATTCAAATGTATCTACTTTAAACAAACCTTTTGTTCTTATTTAAATTACAGGAACATAGCGTTATACTTGGCATGTCTCCACTTTTGTTACTACCTTGGGGGGGGCCGCCCCAGACAACTTGTTGTCAGAAGCTAACGTTAGCGTTCAACGTCAACCGGATGTAAACATATGGCAAGCCAGGAGAGAGACAAAATATTGAAAGGTGTCTCAGCTTCATCACACATAAGACTGTGGAAAATAATCCATCTCATACCCTGTTCCCAAATTTAAAATCAAATTGATCCAAAATCAAACTAATTTTTTACCCAGCCCAAACCTTTACTAGGCGGTAGGGTTGGGCGATATTGGCAAAAAAATTAATCACGATTAATTGTGGTATTTAGCCAATAACGATTAATTTGAAGATTAATCCCCTGGAGTATGTCCTAGTCACATGACCAATTTAGTGGGAAAGATTTGCTCTTCGTAAAAATCTTTTTCAAACTGTCAAAATCACAGACCTCAGGCTTTACTTCAAATTTTAAATTGTGTTGATAAATAAATGACAGAACTTTTGTTTAAATATTCCTCATATTTGAAGCGGAGGAGCACCAAGCGGACTGACCAGAGAAATCTCCAGTCAGTCTGTCTGCTGGCATTAATCGTATTAATCATCAAGTGCCAAAAAGTAATCGATTAATGTTTTTCTGATGATTAATTGCAGACGATACGATTATGCCCAACCCTACTAGGCGGCTTGTGAAAAAAATTGGGGGCTCGTCCGGGA